TGTCGATGCCGTTTTCGTCACATCGTGAGAGTAAATTGCATCCGCGGCAGCTCAAAGAATCTATTTGGTCACAAAACGGACGCATCCCGCTCGTCGAAATTTACCACACTTTGAAGTTTCGACATGTCCTCTCTGACTCCATATCGATACGAGGAAGAACTCGTTTGTTGTAAACCAGACGAACACAAAGTCATGTACGAGTACTGACGTCAGTGAATTGTCATTTTTCATGCTTTCGCGCGGAATATTTCTTCGAGTTCACAGTGAGTTTTTCCAGGCAGCGCTCGAGCCGTCATACGGTAAGACGGCAAACTCCCCGGGCGATCGCCAGGATTGCTAATCTTTTTGAAACTGACTTTATAGTGAGGTTCTACTCTACGTGACACCAAGAGTACATAGCCCCCAAGAGAGTGCCACTGCCTGTACAACCTCTATCCAAAGCTGTGACTTCAGAACTTCACATCATATGACATGGTTCAAAAAGGTTTTGCTGGCAAACAGTGCAAAGTGACCAACAGGGAGTTGAACCCAAAGCAGGGTTTTGTATCTATCATGCACAGCGTGCAAATAACGTGTACGAGTTTGTCACGTAATGTCAAGTTCTGCCATCGCAGACCCCATAGCTGGAGTTGCACACTCTTGGGGATGATGTTCTCTTAGAGAAATCCCGTAGAGAACAGGTGTCTGGGTTAGAGTCGACTGCTTCACATGTTTTGGGTTCAGATTTCTACTTGGAAATGATGTTCTCTACGTTGTGGCACACGCAAAGAAAATGCATACGGATCTGATGTGTGTTGTTCAAATGAGAGGAAACTGCCAAATTTGGAACGGGAAATTTCCAGTACACATTCCACATGGTTTCTTTGCGTGAACGCAAAGCAGAACAAGTTTCCTATACATGTACGTTACGGGAATGCGAAGAGTTTTCGTGATATTCTTCATGTAGCGTTTCCATAAACTTATAAGTAGAGCAGAACACTACCAGTCTTATGATGCAAAGTGGGAAATGTATAAGGGGTCAGAGGAGAGTTATAATTTCCCATTTCACAAGCAATGGTACATTGCGACTGGAAGTGGGAGTTGTGCGAGGAGCTGAGAGTGAGGCATAACAGTGTATTGCCTATGACGTCATGATTATTTCCACTCAAATTCAACTGGAACTTCACAGCATGGAAAAATAAAATCACGCAACCACATCACTACAGTTGCCTTTTTTAGTGTAGCGACACTATGCCTACGTGACAGGAAAAATGAATCATTCCGAAAAAAATCCACCAACACGTAATGGGAGGGCGAGTGGGACACTGTTCTATCTCGCTCTCAGGTCCTCGCACAACTCCAGCCCGCCGTCGCAATGTATCACTGCTAGCAAAATGGGAAGATGCGCACTGGGGCGTAAAGCTTCGATATAACAGTGTGTCCTTCACAGCATAAACCAAATAAAACACGTATGGGATAAACATTCTCAATCCTAGGCACGGGCAACATTGAAGCATGAGCGTATGACTGCTAGTGACATGTGCACCAAGTGCTCTGACGCCAGCTGGTGAGGCTATATCCTAATCCCCGGACTTGAGAACGGCTGCACTGTAAGTGGTGCTGCTGCTGGTGCCGGTGCCACGTCTCGGCAGTAGAACTGGTGGATTGTCGACGCACGCCTCCAGTCAGCTGTGTCGATGATCATGGTCACGGACACTAGCTGCCCAAGCTGCCGCAGATGCCGACGTCCCGCTAGTCGAGTGGGCGGAGAAATCTGACGTGCTGACTCAGGCTTGCAATAGCACGTCCTTCTGCCAACGGGCAACCGTTGGTGAGGACACCAGCTTGTGTGGCTTCTGGTATTACATTACTTGTAAGAGGGTTGGCTGCTCGTTGTCCACTGCATGCCAAGATGCGGAACGCGAAACATACGCCAATATGCATAGACAGACCAAATGGCAGGCATTGGAATTCGTACCTCGTGCCTTGCCAGAGGAATTGCAGAAATCTCCTGTCGTCCTGCGCATTCGGCACTGTTAGGTACGCATCCTTGAGGTCGATCTTGGTCATGTAGTCTCCTGGCTGGAGAAGATCGCGCAGGGAGTGAATGCCTTCCATCATGAAATGGTGGTAGGGAAGGAAGCTGTTCAGCATTCTCAGGTCAACAACGGACCGCATTCTCCTGCCTGACATCGGCACCCTAAACACAGCACTCACGAGTCCGGGCGGCTCTCGGAAATCCACTCTCCTGACTGCCCCTTTCTCCACGAGGGACCGAACCTCCTGGGGCATGGCTTGTTGGTCGGCGACCGAATCGGGAGCTGGGCAAGCTGGCCTGGGTAGGCTGGGGACGTAGTTCAAGATGCAGGTAGCCTTGGACAGCGCTGACTACCCATGGATCGGCGGACAGCTGTCTCCACATGCTGGTGAAAAGGGCTAGACGATCCCTCAGCATTCTCGTTCTCCCGCTCAGGAAGCCCGTGCAGTATCAGGTTATTCATGCGCTTGGCCTTCTCGACTTCCTCGGCCAGTGGCGGTCTGCTCGTACCAGTCGTTGGAGGTCCCGCAGTGTTTGTGGCGACCCCTGAGAGGCAAAGCCCAGTCCTGAGCCGAGACGGCGAACAGTATCTGCCAGTCTGGCAACAGCAGCTTGGTGTCCCAGACTCTGGTACCAACACCCACATTGCTGGTGGAAGGGAATGGCTTAGGTCCCGCTTTGTTATATAGCTGGGGCTCGCCCCTTGACCGTCCTGTTGCCTTGTTGGGGGGGGGGGGGGGGGGGGGGGGAGCATCCGACTTCGGTTGGCATAGCCATGGCCTGCTGGGCTGTACTGAGTTTGTTCGTACGGGCTGGGATAAGGCTGGTACCGGGAGCCACCGCAGTACCTGCTGGCCCCGGCACCTCAAAATAACCGGCGTCCACCCAATGATGCCCCTCCGGAGCCAGACTTGGTGTTGCTCAACTTTGGAGGAGCTCGAGCATCTTTGTACTTCTTCGCCACCAAACCCAGCGCCTTCTGGGACTCTGCCTTAGGGCCGGGTTCCACTGCGGCTCGCGTCCGCATTGCGTGAGCCAGAAACGCATGCTGACGCGAAGCCGCTCGGTTCCACACTACAATCGTCACGCGAGGTTCCGCGGCATGCGGCTCGAGGTTCTGGCCAGGTGGTGAGCTGCAACCACCAGCTTGGTAGCACCCTGCGACTCCTCAAAAACAACAGTAGCTGTGTCGACAGCTCCTCCAAGTCCACAGCCCCAGGTGGGGTGATCACCGAACAGTTCAAAATATAACCTGACGAGATGCCACTTGCACTTATTTTCAATTTCCCCCCAATCGACCTCAATCGCATCGCCATCAAGTTGCTGATCGTCGTCATCCACTTCTGATCCAGTAGGGGGCTCCTTTTCAGGATAGGAACGATCCCCCTCTCCATCATCTTCTTGCCCAGCTTCTTGAGTCCGTCAATCTTATTCTTCACAACGTCATCAGTCAAGTCCTCCACATCATTTTCTCCGTGACTCGCCAGAAGTTTGCCATCTCTTTTCATTTCCACCAATTTTTTCCTCAGCCACTCTTTTCCTTGGCAGTCTTCATCTGCTTCTGGAACCGGCTGCTGACAACATGCCAAAGTTTCAGCGTGGCCCGCTCCAAATCTTTTGACCAGTTGAAACCCATCGCAAACGGAAGGAAGAGAAACACTGACAAAGTTGAAACTGACAAAAACGAGTGAAAGACACAACAGATCTTGTTGTTCGTCGTCCGGTCTTGCTTCTTCAAAGCAGATTTCAAGTTTCCCGCCAGCATTTCCCAGTTCACGTGATCATGAACAATGCAAGCCGCAATTGCGGCGAGCCACCACACTACAAAACGCAAAGCCAAAGCCCGTGGCAGGCCGCCACTCCGCGGCACTCGCTCGAGCCGCGGTTACCATGGTAAAACCCAAAAAATTACGTGCCGCGGAGCCGCAATGGAACCCGGCCCTTAGACTGGATGCATTCTCCAAAAGTTCCGGACTGAATAGGGCCATTCCTGCTTTCTCGGATGGTTCCTCTGCCATCGGTGCCAGGCTCTTGTCAAGATGTTCTAGAAACTCCTGATGCCTCAGCATCGAGAGCTTGTTGTTGGCATTGCCCAGTAGAGAGACAAGCCAGCCGGCACCGTGTCCAAAACTCCTTTGGGATCCAGGCCTGTGCCAGCGGCCTGCGCTGCTTTGGCCTCCGTCAGCAGGGCAGAGAGGGGTCCCAAACAATCCGACGCATTTCTTTGCATCGAGTACAACGTGTTGTTCTGCGATTTCTTGAACGACTGCCGAACAACCAGGTATATTCAGCACCTTCTGACTATAGCTTTGGTGTAACCGCGGTGTCCACCTCCGGACAGGAAACCTGCACTCCTTGCTCTTCAAGGGCTTCCTGAAGCAAGTTTGCAGGAACTGTTTTATCTCTGAGGACAACAGAGCATGCTCCAGATCATCTGTGCCCACGTTCACACATGAGGTTGCCTGCCCACTCGTGGTGTTGTTCGAATCAACATCACTCGAGCAGGCCTGCCTACTCACGGAGCTTGATAAAAGCAATAAAGTTCCACACAGCGAAGTAGACTTGGGCATGCCCAAGAACTGGCAAGCTCCTGGGATTGAGTGCTTGCACCCAACCTGGCCAAACTCGTTTCACACTCCGCTGCCGCTCACAAAGTACGCAAGCGATCATTCATAGGAGCAAGGAGATCTACAAAGCGTAATGAAACATCTTGGTGATTCTTTTTTTGTGACTGTTTTCATTCATATCACCGCGAAAAGAAGAGCCCAGATCTATTAAAAAAGGCATCTTCCTGATGTGGTTTCGTGATTTTATTCTCAGACTGTGAATTTCCGGCTGGATTGGAGTGGACATATTCCTAACATCATATCCATTCTTGTCATCCAGAGCTTTGATTTATCATCGTGACAGCGTAGAATTGACTGTGCAATGTAACCACTGTATATTGCTGTGCTGGATGTTGCTCTCTTGGCACCGTGTGCAGGCTGTACTGGATGCTCCACTTGAAGAATACGACTCTTTTGATGACTACTTGGAGATGGTTATACAGTTTGGGGTGAGTTATCTCATCCAATACCGATACTGATCGGATACCTGGGAATGTGCACCCCCTAAAATCTTTCGACCTTCATTCAGTATGTGCATATTTTGGCCCAATGGCCCCTAGGCTAGGGATTGCAGTTCAGTGCATGCTGTGAAGCCAGAGGTGTACCCCCCCCCCCCCCCCCCCTTGAAAGGTGGACCAGCAACACCACTACATGACATGGGATGTGGAGTGTGAACTAGTGCATTCAAAGTGTGCACTGACCTGTAGCTACATGTAGTACGGTTGCTCTGCAAAGATTAAGTGCCGTGACTTGCACAGCACAGAGTGAACATAGGTGCGAAATGGCAATACATGTAGTGGCTTGTGTACATGTACATGATTCTAACCTGTTAGTGTTGCACTAGCCACATACAGTCTTATAAGGGTGGATGAGTCATTCACCAGACTTTAAACGTTAATCAAGCAACAGGTTATTGTTTTGCCGGACTGATTTGCTAGTACATATTGTGTTGTGTAAATGCTGTGTTTGGATTTCCTGTGTGCTTACGTGTCTCTCTGTCCTGCAGTACATAACACTATTTGCATCAGCATTTCCGCTCTGCTCCATAATCAGCGTTGGATTTGTTCTGGTTGAGACAATGACCGACTCTCTCAAGTTGCTTTATCTTTACAGGCGCCCACGCTCCCGCAGGTACTGCTTGCAATGTGTAAATCTCTTTGTCTGTGTGAAAGAGTGATAGAGAGATAGATAGAGAGGAGCGAGAGAGAGAGAGAGAGAGAGAGAGAGAGAGAGAGAGAGAGAGAGAGAGAGAGAGAGGTGTGTGTTTGTGTGTGTGTGTGTGTCTGTTTCTGTGTGTCTGTTTCTGTGTGTCTGTTTCTGTGTGTGTGTGTGTGTGTGTGTGTGTGTGTGTGTGTGTGTGTATGCATGTGTGTGTACACGTGTGTGTGTGCTATGTGTGTGTGAGTGTGTGTGTGTGTGTGTATTTGACTGAAAACACAACCTACTCATAAAAAGAGGGGAGAGAAATAACAGGACAATGATGGGAAGAGTAGGGGCTCCAAGAAGGAACCTGTGTTGGTGAGACAAGCCAACAACCAACTTCATCACTAATACCGCCGAAGTCGCAACTTTTACGTTTGTATTGTTGTCCCTCGCGCTGACGTGCGACTAGTTGTTGGGAGGTGACAGCGTTGTGAATAGCTACTGGCTCTCAGCATCTATTTAGCACAACGCCATGAGCGACTCCGACTCACGCTGCTACCTGGGGCCTCACGAGGTGTTTGTCGCGCTGGAAATGGAGCGTCTCTGTAAGTTTGTATCCCTGGTGATGGTTTGGCCTGGAGAGCACCATATAGGTGGTGCTTTTCAGGCACAATCTTCCTCAGCCTACTCAAGCTCAACTGATGAGGGGTGAGTTCCCCAAAACACTGCGTATTGAGCACGGAGTGGTGCTTTCTTGCAGGTTTGCCGAGTGGAAGGTGCGACATGCTCCTTGTGTGTTCTGGATGGCAGTCATGAGTCAGTCAAGTGTCAAGTTTGGCAGGAAGCATGTGTTCCACGTAGGAACAACCAACTTCATCACTAATACCGCCGAAGTCGCAACTTCTAAATTCTTATAATTAACATATTTTATCATGCAAGGGTGGCAAATGCCCTCAAAGGCACGATTTTCAAAAAAATTCCCGCAGAGGTCCCCCAGATACCCTTCTACTAATAGTAATACCCTTCGGGCAAAACCAGACAAATTGAAAATAGCTTCGGACGCCCCTTAGGGCTAGTGTTATTATTCGGAGCATGGTGCATACGTATATGCCGGGCTTGTAGGAGACTGGGACTTCTGGAGTATGACATGACCAGCTGTGTACTAGTAGTAGTAGTTGTGTGGATTGTGCATGCATAATTCCTGCTGTATTGTGTTGGTTTGATGTGTACAGGGCTGGTGGCATTGGTGTGTGGTATTCAGTGATGTACTTCATGGTCATCGCATCCATCCTGACTAACTGCTTCATCCTGGGATTCTCATCTGAGCAGCTCATGCAGTGGATGCCAAACATGTTCAAACACGAGGGTGGTGATCAACAGTTCAAGCTGGGTTATGGAAGGTCAGTAACACATGCCATTTACTGCTATAACTGTGTGTGTGTGTGTGTATGTGTGTGTGTGTGTGTGTGTGTGTGTGTGTGTGTGTGTGTGTGTGTGTGTATGTGTATGTGTGTGTGTGCAATTCCCGACGATTATGGTCACACACGTCTTTCTTCTCTTTCTCGGACTCTTCCTGACTTTTCTTTCATTCTCCTGGGTGGTTACCAACAGCCAGTGTATGCCGCAGTATGTGGTGTGTGTGTAGGAAAAAAAAATGGAAAATGAAAAAAATAGGGATTCACTGGCCAGAAAAAGTCACTTCAAACAGCTGTGTGGTGGATACCAGGCTAAAAATAGTGGCGGTCAATTCATCAGCCTTGCAAGCTGTTGAATGGTGTAATCCCAGCACAAGTTGTTATGTCTAACATAAGTTGCTATGTCTAACATAGGTGTTCGCTATCATCGCTTCCGCAATGGGCATGTCTGAGGTCTGAGGTGTATGTGTATGTGTGTGTGTGTGTGCATGCGTGTATGTATGCTGGAGCATGTGGTGTGGTGTGTGTGTGTCGAAAAAGAAAAAAAGAAAAAAGAAAAAAGGAAAAAGTGAAAAATAGGTTATCACTCCCCCTCACGTGACCGCGGACTCCTGCATATACACTCACACAATAACCACACAACTGTTTGGGGATAGCGCGCTTATTGTATTATGCCAAACTTGACACGCTGAGTCCAGCTTGACTCAGCTGAGTCCCTAACTGCAATTTACTGCTCTAACATGAAGCCGTGCCTGGAAGAATGGAAAGAGCGAAAAAAGAAAAAAAATTCTGGCCTTCTGCAAGCAATAGCAAGTAATGAGTGCTGGCTGTGTAAAGTCGCACAACCATGCAGTCGACCGGATGATGGTGAGTGTCCGGCACACATCTTGCTCTGCTGCTCCACCTGCGCGTACCTGATACGGTGGTGCGCTTACGGGCGGGCTGCCTGGGCCCCAGATGCCTCCCTGATGCGCCACGGGGTGCCGTCGAAGTGCCTGTATCACTTCGGTGATCCAAATGCGAATGCAGCCTTGCCGGTCGCCCGCCGGCCTGCCGCCTACGCGACCAGCCTGAGACTGGCCCTGCCGCATTTGGCGCTTCTAAACGCTGCGATCCGGTAGACAGCTCACTGGGCTGCCAAATACGTGACTGGCTTGAGGACAGTTCCATACTGCACGGCAGGGCGCCCAGCTCAGGTCGCACGCCGTAGCGGCGTGAGCTGGGCGCGGTGAGGGTTGGTGATAACTACAGTTTCCTCCTTTCTCCTCCGGAAACTTCCATTATTCACTGGCCAGAAAAAGTCTCAGCTGTGTGGTGGATACCAGGCTAAAATTAGTGGCGGTCAATTCAGCAGCCTTGCAAGCTGTTGAATGGTATTACAATCCCAGCACAAGTTGCTATGTGTAACATAGCTGTTTTTACACATAGCTGTTCGCTATCATCGCTTCCGCGATGGGCATGTCTGAGTGTGAGTGTGCATGCTACTGCTATAGAGTCGTATCATCACATCAGTTTATCATGTGACTAAACCTGTGTGGAAAGTGACCATGTATATATCATAGTCCACATGTCATGTTCACGTTCCACACACTGTCCACATGATCAACATGGCCGACACCATGTGACCCATAGCTGCAAGGGTTGTCGGTAGTTGGAACCAACATGGCGCATGCTGTACCGTATGGTCGAAAGCACTGTGTAAGTGTGCAAGTAGCCCCTACTACCACACATACTGAGCTAGTTATACAGCAGGAAACCTGCTTGAATCCTGCTTGTAATGATGAAGGAATTTCGCCGTGACCCTGCGACAATTGCGGTATTTCAGCTTACAGCTCCGATTCAAAATAGAGTCTTGAAATGAAAAAAAGTCTCAAATGCATCACCTACCCTGGAATGAGTCTGCAATGATTATTGGTCAACTATTCTCAACCGATCTCGAGTACAGCCGGTTAGTAATCACGTAAAGATAACTGAACTTCACACCTGAAATGATTGGTCAACCGCCCTCAGCCAATCAGAGTTAAGCTGCGCTGGGTATTGGATGAGTGCAATGGCGGAGACTCGGGGAAGGCTAGAAATTTGTTTCCGCATAGGAAGGAGCGATAATTCTACCGATTTAGAAATTTGTTTCTGCATGAGAAAGGAGAGATACGCTGAACTCTGGTTGGCTGAGGGCGGTTGACCAACCATTTCAGGTGTGAAGTTCAGAGCCAGGATAGGCTATAAAAGTAATCATTCCAGGAGGGGATGGTGGTCGGGGTTTGGGATGGCTTTTTCAGCTTGCCTTCTTGGCTTCTTCTCGGGTTGCTTCTTCAGCTTGCCTTCTTGGCTTCTTGGTGGTCGGGGTTTGGGATGGCTTTTTCAGCTTGCCTTCTTGGCTTCTTCTCGGGTTGCTTCTTCAGCTTGCCTTCTTGGCTTCTTCTCGGGTTGCTTCTTCAGCTTGCTTATGGCTGTACTCCTTCCTCCTACAGAAACAACACACGCACCAAAATCAAGAAATGATCGGAACAGCCGTTGACATCACAACCCCTGTTTCTGTATACACACAGCAGTTATGCGTAGAACACACACAATCGCACGCACACACACACACACACACACACACACACACACACACACGCACACACACGCACACACACGCACACACGCGCACACACGCACACACGCACACACACGTGGCTTCTTAGCTGTGTAGGCTAACCGTAAGGCCAACGGTCTGATGCGATAGTTCAATTGACCCATGCAGCCTGCTTCCAGCCTAAAACTATTGTCCCCTAATTGCAAAATGAAGGAAAAGTGTTACTTGCTGGGCATTGCCCGACCTAGCACACATAATGATGCAAGTCAGATATCAAGGTTCACTGCAGACAGTCTTAAAATTTTCTTCGGCTTGCTTCTTCTTGGTTTGCTGATGGCTGCACTCCTTCCAAATGCAGAACACTTGTATGTTGTTGTTAAAAAAAATTATTTCTGCATGAGGAAGGAGCGCAACCGTCAGTAAGCCAAGAAAAAGCAAGCCAGAGAAGGGAATTCTAAAATTCAGGCAGAAATACTTACTGTTGTGTGTAGGCACAGTGTTTTCTTGCAACTTCTGGCAAATTCTTTGCGTTCTGCAGCCTAACCTTCTCTTTTAGAGAAGTTGACCAGACTCTTGCAGTTACCACCATGTGTCATGCATTTGACAGGGCACGGGAATCTGCTCTCACCTCTTGCTTGTTGGCCGTTGTTTCTCATCTTTCTGTTCCTGTTCTTGTCCTTGTTCTTGTCCTTGTTCTTACTGTGCTGCATGCATGGCTCACTGCTGCTGCTGCTGCAGGTATGTGGTGGGTATGGTGTTCACGTTGGAGCACATCCTCATCTTGTTAGCCCTGGTCATAGAGCACTTCATTCCGTCGTGTCCCAGGTCGGTTACCACCGAGATGGCGCGGCGCAAGCACCTGGCAAAGCAGTGGCTGGCAGAACACGAAGCTGACGCCAGCCAACAGAAGACAGTACAGAAGACGGAACATGTCGAATAACTTCAATTTTTTTTACACTAGCGACATCCTTTTTAAGAAAAGGGCTTAGTTTCCTGGTTGGGTTTGCAGTGGCTACATCATCCTTGGCAATGCGAATGTACTCGAAGTATTAAAATAGTATCTCCATGAAAGCAGTTTAGTTCCATGAAAACACACACATACTTAACCTCCACGAAACATGCTAATCAGAGATCACAGACAGTCGTGTCAAATAGACTCGTCGTGCTGTTCTTGTTGTGTTTTTTAATCTTTGGTCAGAATTCCATTCTCCTCTGCTTCTATTTTTCTTCTATTTTCCTGCACCTGCTGTCCCAGTGTGCGTCCGAGCGTTATTTTCACTTCTACTGGTTTTTTTTAATGCTTTCCTCATTCACCCTTTCTGAATTCCGCTTCGACTTCCGCTGTACCCATCGATCCAGCTGCTTTTCAATTGCCGTTACTCATTTTGTTTTAATTTTCTGTTGTGTTTGCTGAGCTGTACACTCTTGGTTATCCTATACCGGTGTCATACACGGACCCAAAGCACAACATGGGTGCTAGAATAGTAGTACAGTCGTCCAGCACACCACCACCCTCAAGAAACCAGCATATATATTATCTCAATTACCCAAATGTCCACTTCGTGCAGTAAATCGGATTTGTTAATCCAGCACCCTCCCTAATCCAGCAGAATTTCCGTAGCACAAAATAATGGTCCTGGATTATAAAGGGACCACTGTCAACTGTGTATTCAAGGCAAGCAATCAGGGGAGACGAACTGCCAGAAAAGTGAAAAAATGCCAACTCCACCTGGACTCAAACCGCAGTGCTGGTGGGGTTGGCATTTTTTCCACTTCCAAGTTTCTGGTGCTTCCCCTGACTGTTTACCTTTAGTTTGAAGTTTATCCCATTCCCAATACTGTAAATCAACAGAATTTAATATTCGGGACAGTTTCTAAAAATGCGGAAACCGAGCCAACGAAATGTAGAAAGAGGAAGGGACAGATGGATACGAGATATGAGCAACTAAATGCTGAATGTTTCAGCACTCTGTCAGTTTGGTGTGTAATTGTCGTCCTTTCTGACCGTATAATTATTCTAATAACAGCTTTGGACAGTTGCTCATAAGTCATAACCCATATCCATGTTTCCCGTCCCTTTTTCTGCACATTTATTTTTGGCTATTTTCGGCCTGGGCCTTCGGGCCTAAAATTTGTGGCAGTCGAAATATTTATGTGCAAGGTACAATGTGACAGAATACGGTATGGGCAGGGGCAGTACAGGCTGACATTTTAATGCGCCCAAAAGGTGTTTGCCCTCGGCTGAAATTTTATCCGTGTATCCAAAGTGCCAAAACGTGGAGGTGCTCAGTTTGAATTTTTCCTTCAGTCGAGTACAAATCACGGGAAATGTTTGCCTAAACAACAAACGTATTGACCTACTTGCATAAAGAAATAGTCCCTGGCAGTCTGACACTCGGTGATTATTTTTCCAAAGCCCTCTTGGCAGAATATTTCTCCCGCACGGGCCGTATACACCGTTGCTCTTGCTACCAAGCAAAGAGTGCACAAATATGCCCAAGTTACTACAGGCCCGGCATTGTTCTAACGAGCTGCACATTATAGCGATTTCCTAAAACTGACCGGCTTTAATACGTGTACCGTAGCGATTCTCACTAGCATAATAATAATTATTGTATCGATTTCTGTATATCATTTTCTATTTTTATGACAGATTTCTCCTCGTTACCTCGGCAAAATCAGCACTTTGTTAAAGGGGAAGTATACCCTAAAATCAAATTTTCACCAGTTGTAGTCTTCTGGGTGCTGAGTCGAATGGTCTTGGTCCGAGGAAGCTGCGACGCTCCCTTCCTACTTGAATCCCAATCGAACTCGCGCACTTCCACCGAAACTGGGTGACTGCGCCCTACTAGATGGGGATTTGTATGCAAAATGTCACTAAAAGCGCCATTTCGTTCTTATAAAAGCACGGATGACCGCGATTGGCCCATATGTTGTAGTCTTTTGGACGCTGAGTCGACTGGTTTTGGTCCGAAAAGGCTGCGATGCAGCGTTCCTCCTTTATTCCCAATCGAACATGGTTGAACAAGCGGTCACGTGCTCCTGGGTGCCCAAATCACCTGGTCACCGCGCCAGCAGGTGACAACTTTCACACCAAGGTTCAACTCGAGTTCAACTCGAGTGACAGGACTACACCCAAAAAAGGTCAAACAGGCTAGTAAGTTGTACCCTGCAGGCACGGTGACCAGGTGACTGGTGTACGCAGGAGCACGTGACCGCTTCTTCAACCATGTTCGATTGGGAATAAAGGAGGAACGCTGCATCGCAGCCTTTTCGGACCAAAACCAGTCGACTCAGCGTCCAAAAGACTACAACATATGGGCCAATCGCGGTCATCCGTGCTTTTATAAGAACGAAATGGCGCTTTTAGTGACATTTTGCATACAAATCCCCATCTAGTAGGGCGCAGTCACCCAGTTTCGGTGGAAGTGCGCGAGTTCGATTGGGATTCAAGTAGGAAGGGAGCGTCGCAGCTTCCTCGGACCAAGACCATTCGACTCAGCACCCAGAAGACTACAACTGGTGAAAATTTGATTTTAGGGTATACTTCCCCTTTAATATAATTATAACTTTATAAGGCCTTTATAGCACTCCGCCAAGTCATCTTTCAATGCTAAGGTCACTAACCAAACTAATACAAATTAACAATAATGTTCCTAATTTCCCACTAGATGGTTAGTGCAGATGTCCTCGTAGAGATGGTGATGGCTCCCATCCACAAATCGGATCTACATGTACTTGAAGTAGCTATGTCGTGACACATCACAGTTAACAATACCCCAGCGAAGCAGATTCCATGATCAAGCAAGAAAGAAGTTCAGTGCTTTCATTTCTAGGGTGCCCTGTAAGAAGGCATGTGGGGATTGCTAAATTTGATAATAATAATTATAAGAAAGGGTTCGCTCCCCACACCAGAGCTCGCGCTATTCCTCCGACTTGGAATGGGTGTGTCAACGAAAACGAGCTTCAGGATGTGTGGAAAGGACAAGGAAACGGTTTTCCACCTTATTGGAGCATGCACGGTTTGTGCTGGAAGTCACTATGTCAATCGCCACAACAGGTTAGCAAAGTATCTCCACTGGACGCTGTGCAGGAAGCATGGTGCATCGGACATTTCAAATAAGAACACAAGTCACCAACTCACTAACGTCGTGTACAGTGCTGAAACGGATGTGTCAATCTACTGGGAAGTGCCAATTCCAACAGCAGCGCCCGTCAGAGCAAAGACCCGACATTGTTATCAAGGGCAAAGATGAAGCATTGCTTGTGGACGTAAGTGTCCCTTTGGATAGGAACATCCGCCGAAAATCTGTGGAGAAGATACAGAAATATCAAGGCCTGAAGCGCGAGGTGGAACAGATGTGGCAGGTTCGGGCCAAGATCGTGCCAGAAATTGTGGGGGGAGTTAGGTGGATTAACCCCCTCGACTGCTGACTTTGTGAGGGAACTGGATGCCGGAGCCAGCGTATCCATCTTGCAAAAGGAGGCGCTCCTTGGCACAGTTGACATCATCATAACTCAGATGAAATAACAATTTACCCTTCAATAAGTTGCATTGGTTTGCGAATGCCCATGGTTCGAACTATTAGTTGAAGCCCCTATTTGCAGAAAATAATTATGATCGTAATATTAATCATTTGCCAATAACAAAGACGTCAACAATACTATCAACCCCCATTCATCGGTTTTGACGGTGCTTCTCTGATGTTGAATGAGAAGAATTACATCGCCTTCAGTGCTATTGTGTCACTGAAGGGCTCGATTTTAGGTTTGACGACGGCTACTTTTCAACGGATTTTGTTTTTCTGATTTAGCTCTCAGTACCTGCTTGTGTTAAGTCTCTTTCTAGCAGATTAATTATACTCGAAGTATAAGAGATTGTACATGAAGCATTGTGGATTTGCTGTTCACAGTGTTTCTCTCTTTTTTCTTTCTTTTTTTCTCTCAGTCTCCCTTATTATATTTCTTCACATACAACAGCAGTACTCCCCATGGTCTTAAGTGACCCAGGATGCTGCATAATCCAGACACAAAACCAATAAAGCCGCCCCTATAATAATATGTCCCAACCCAACTACTGACTATGTACACGGATGACAACAAGAAGCTGCCACAAGCTTGTCAAGGGACAAATGCACCCATAGTAGCAGCAAGCCTGAAAGAGGAGAGAGGGCACTCCTAAAGTGTAGGCTCAATCGAGGCACAATAGCTTCCCAAGGCACAAGGACTCCCCAAGTGACAGCAGGCGGCGGTGCATGATGCAAAGCTGCTTGTAAGAGGCAGACAGCTTAGCATGCAGGTCAATCCTGATAGTGGAAATACATGTAGTGCCATGCAGGCTCACAGGTCGAGTTGGGGTCATTTACACCGAAGATATCAAAGCTGGGTTACCTAGCCCCCGTTTTCGGAGATCGAGTTTGACCTGATGACGGAGACCTTTTTATTTGAGCAACGGGCACCATGCCCCGGCCAGGATCGCACTGTTGGCCGTGTCGGGAATAATGACAACCAAGCCGAAACCAAGGAGAGTGCCGCCGCCACCGCCATTCACCACCCCAGAACCTGTCACCCGTCTGACAAAGACTATTTACCATCAACAATACGCACATTGACGCGGACGACGAGTTCACGTCTGATCACTTCTCGGCCAGCGGATGCGCACCAAGTACTGCATCGGACTGCCAAGCCGGAGGCGCCAATACTGCAAAGGAGACCCCGGAGGAGAGTGCCCACAGAAACTAACCATTGCTGAATCCATCCGGATGCGACAAGAAATTTTATTTTAATTTATCCGAACAGGAGGCGTATATACCAAGGGCGTCGGAACCGCACCGGCCGGGGCGGCCATGGCCGCCCCACTTTTTCGGCCGTTTGAGCACACTGCAGCAAAGCGCGATGATCTCAGCGCAAACGTGGCAAATCCTTGTCCCCGATCGTGGTTTGTTGCAGAATCAAAAGTCCATGTACACTGAAATGGCACCAAATGCCTGGGAATGCTTGCAATTGGCTTCAATTTTTGAATTTTTCCCGGGGGAGGGTAATGTTTGTCCCCGATCGTAGCATCTTCTTGTTTTTTTGCAGAATCAAAAAGCCTTTCATTGTAGTTACCGTACACTGAAACGGCACCAAATGCCCGGGAATGCTTGCAATTGGCTTCAATTTTTGAATTTTTTTCCCGGGGGAGGACCCCCGGACCCTTCCATGGCCGCCCCACCTCCAAAGTCGGTGCGACACGCCTGTATACGGTCGCACACTACTGAAAAGCCCTGCAAATGCATCGCGGACAACCGTTCAAAAACCAGCACAGTCCCACAAAGTGTGCACGGTATTTTTCTTGCTGCTAGGCCAGCATTCCGTTTTGACCCCTTATTTCTTCATGGGCCTCTTTCTTTCTGTTGTGGCAAGTTCACATGATCGAAGCTGATCAGAGCTGATTTCCGTTTGTATTGCTTTTGCGCGTCTACACGGCCAGAAGGATCCAGAAAAGTGTATTATGTGAGCAGTGCCGTTGTGTGAGCACCAATGGCATAATGAAGACGTAATCTG